GTGGATCTTGGCCGGCCGGCCGGCCGGCCAGCTGGACCGTGGTTCTTGGCCGGCTGATCGAGAAATAGCGGGCCGCGATAAGCTCGCAATGAAAAGATCATCCAATACTGGCCGAAAGCTCAAGGGGTATCCATTCACCACCCCAAACCAAGGGGTGCCCGGTCAATGGATCGCAGTCCAGCAACGCCACAGGCTGGACCTCGCCGCCAGGTGCTGTGATCTGGATCCGCACCGAGCTCCGGCTCATGCGCCGGCCTTTGGCCTCCTTGGCCTCCTCGGTCCGAAAGGCCGGTGTTGGAGGAAGGGGCCAGGGCCAGGTCACGACTCTTGGGTTGATGTTGAATGGTTTTTCTTATAAGTTGCTGTTTCTGTTTTTGTCTTAGTTGCGTGGAAGATGATTCAAGGGATCATGCGTTAGCGAAACTTGGCTAGCATTGTGGAGGACATGTTCAAGGTTTGTGTAGGTGTATATAAGAGTCTCCAATGATCCTTTTAAATTTGCCTTTCCAAGAAAAAGATGTTATTGAAAGAAAGCACTCTTTTTTGCATATGTCACAAAATGTTCCTTTTTTGTTTGTGCCCTGTCAGATCCTCCTTAGACAGTGCCCTGAGACTTTTTTCGGCGTCCAAAACATGTCTTTTTGCGTCCAAAAGGCGTCTTTAAGCGTCCGCACCGGACGCGTCCGGATGAAGATTCACTCTGTACCTTTTTTTTGAGTCCTCATCTCTGAAAACGCGTTTTCGAGCAAAAACACAAACACGTATTAGACCCCCCAACATTTTCTTAAAAAATGCAGAAAAAACAAGGTCTTTGGAGACTCAAGTATATACGTGCCTCCCTTAGGCCCCCAAAGACTACTTCTTCAGGGTCTTCAGGGTCACACGTCAAGTAAAGATAAGCAAAGCGTTTGTTTCGGGCTCCAGTTGAGGGTCGCACGCTGACAGACTCGTATTGAAACTTCAACAGCCACGACGAAGCAAGACTCGCAGGAACGCCTCCCCCGACATGTCGTGGAGCTCTCCACCAACGACTTGCCGACGTGAACTGTCTGCGTATGCCGACGTTCGTGGGGGATGTAGACATCCACATCCAACCCACATATCAAAGGCTATGAAACACTATCAAACTTCTTGCCACACCTGTCATCACCTGCCCAGCAAAGGAGGAGGTGCCACCCATTACTGCATTCTCTTTCATCGCAACCAACCCCCCCCGCGCTCTCGAAAAGCGCTTTCGGTCACAGACCGGCCGTGCCGGCCTCTGTTTGTAGAGTACTGTGTGACTGCGCGCGCTCCAGGGTGGGAGACACTCCCAGGTAGGTGCTTGGACCTGCAGAGGCTCGGCACGGACGGCTCGCTGGATCGGTGCCGATCCGCCGGTGGAGACCGCGGGGAAGGTGACGCAGGTGCGATCCGCGCCCAGCTGGGCCCAGCTGGCAGATTCGCCCTGGGGTCAGGAGTTGCAACTTGCCAGGGCCGTCCAAGCAGAAATCATTAGAACGTGAAACTGAACCTTTTGCAACCATGTGTCCGCCCTCCTACAGAGGTTAAGTGACCGTAAATAGAACCCGTCACCAGGGATACCCAACTAGCATAGTCGAACTAGGGTTCTGACCCACCTCTGCTGGCTCGAACCTTCTTCACTTAAGGACTTCGGTCACCGAGCTCCGTGCGGTGCCGACCGCCGGACTCGCGGCCGAGCGATGAGTTGGTGCCCAGCAAGGCACTCCATGAGGTGGTGATGCGGCTGAAGCGTTGGACCAGCTCCGCTTGATCCGTCACCTGCTGTTCCAACAAACGCCGGATCCTTGGGACGGCGGACCATGGACGGGACCAATGCCCCATTTGGCGGGATCAATGGGGTGGGATCCAAGCTGCCAACCTTGTGTGCAAATAGCAGCCAAGGGCACCAAGTCCCGGATTTTACCAACAGGATCCAACAGGTGTGTCAAAGCACGGAGTCAGTTTTATACTCTCTTTCAATAACCCACCATGACTTACTGCTAAGATCTGCTACAACAGCGATACACAGTTCTTGTGTCGTGCTCCCTGGGTGTCATGGAGGCCAAACCCACGTAGGCCGAGGGGCTCTGTGAGCTGCAGCTGCATTCCATCCAGGCGACCTTGACTCCAAAGGATGAGGAATGGTCTTCCAGGTTGGTGGTTTCAAATACAGTAAGCAATTAAATATCAGAGCAGTGGGTTCAATCATCCCAACTATAAAGGTTGAGGTCCAGTGGTTGGGGTGAGGAGCCCCTTGGGGATTCTTCAACCCCCCCAGAGATGTCAAAGCCACTCCGGTGTTGGGCACGTCAGGCAGACTGAGATGGACTTTTTTGCATGTTAAACTGTTAAACAAACATGGCGAGTTAACAACTGAGTTTGAATTGAGATGCATGTTTCATTGTTGACGGCTAGTTTGGTTAATATTTGAAGTGATGTGATGCTTCACTTTGCCCCAAAGGCACGGTCTTGGGATCCCAAGTGAGTGACAAATCGGAAGAGCTTCCTTCAAGTTCCGGCGGCTGGTGATTGAAGCTTCCAAAAATCCTGAATTACTCTACCCTAGGGCTCCTGTCCCACCTCCGGGTGGGTGCCAGGGTCTAACCACCTGAGGAGATGGGCCAGGAGCCCTAGGGCTACAACGTCTTTCATGCATCTTCGATCTTTGGGATACAGTGACGCGGTCGACCGTCTGGATCCCTCTGGTATGTTTTGGGCCACGTTTTAGGGACCACCCTGTGCTGTGAGGTGAAACCTATCGCCGCAATTCAATGCCTACAGGTAGCATGTAGGGGGACGAGCATCAAATACATCAATGCAATTACCAAAAGGAACTAGAGGGGCTACTGTAATTACAGTAGAAAACAGTAACTTTGCCTGGTGCCAAGGACAACTCCAGTAACTTGGCAGCAGCGACCGCAAGGGCCACAAGACCGGGAATTGCAACAGCCCCCCGGCGCTTTTCGAACCACTTGCCCTAGATCCCGATTCTACCGTAATCTACCCGCCCAAAAGCACCTGCAAGAGAATAGGAAGAAGCATGAAAGGCATGAACAACTGGTGGGGCAACGATGACAACCCGTGAGCAACTGCAAACATGGCAAATCTGATAGAGAAACTACAAAGACACTAAAATTGAATGACTCCAAATCGTGACAGAGTGAACCTGCAATAAGAAATGCAAACCAAACCAACCCCAACCCCAAGCTGGCCCCCCAACAAAATAAAAACTCAACCTGCCAAAAAACTATCACCAACTGCCCGCTCCTCCGCCAAGTCACCTCCCAATTCATCCATGGCTAGTGCTGGCTGGCTGGTCTAGGCCCGGCCGATGGAGGGTAGACAGTCTAGGCCTCTTGTTGCAAATGGCCTCCGGTGATGAAACGGTACCAGGAAGAAACCCGTTCAATTTCGAGGCGACCCAATGGCCTAATGATCTCAAACTTGATCCAGAAAGGAGTTCTCCTTGTCTGAGATTGTTTCAATATGATGAATCTGGCGCTTCAAGTCTAGCTCCAAAAGCACCAAATGAAGGATCAGGCTGCTCCTTCCAATTCTGTCATAAATCCTTTGAGCCTGAAACGACCACGGCCGCTCCGCCTCTTCGGCCACTTCGACTGGATGCGACACGAGTGACAACGCGCTGCCGACCGACCCCCCCCCGGCCAACGATCCCCGACCGTGAACACCGAGGTGACCATGTGTGTCAGAACCCGAGTAACCGACTCCTCCATCCGAACGTTCGGTACCCCCTGGTTTGTCCGGGGTCCTATTTTCGGTACCCCCTGGTAGCTCGGGGTGTCCCGGTGGCTACCACCGCCGTGGGTTTCGTCCACGTGACCGAGCGGAGACGGGAGCGGACCGCGGCTCGAACGAGAAAGCTTGGTGAACAGTAGCAGCAAGGCATGCAAGGCATGGGGACCAGCAGAAAAGGTGAACATAGGTGAAAACACTTTCAAGCTGGGGCGGACCCATTGACCGAAGTTCATGTGCCTAGCTGACCTAGAAGAACCACAGAGACCTTGGACACCATACACTTGCAAAGCTCCAACTCGAAAGGGCAGTCCTTTCAGCGGACCAACACATGATTCTTCATTGAGAACTCCATTTGGGGTGAGTGTTGCCATGTGCCTACAGTGTTTAGAGTACTCAGATGTACCCAGCCTTGCCCCAAACCAACTTGGGTGGGGATGGGCCAAAGAACTTCCCAGTTCCGGTTCCTATCTTTCTAGGGGTGTCTGCCATGAATTAACATGATCGGCTGCCGCCGCCGTGCGGTTCCTGCCCTCCATCCACGGCGGCGTCTTTTGTCCGTCGATCGGGTTCTATCGGGTTCTCGGCTGCGACTTGCGTCTCGGGGTGAGCATCGATGCTCTCAAGCTTTGCCACTGAGCCTGAACATGAAGGTGGTCCGGACTTGCGAATACGTAGGGGCCCTTGGACCGGTATACTTCGGGCCGAACAGAAGATCGTCGACCTAAAGTGAGTTGGAACATGGTAGAGGAAGACCTCAGAAAATGTATGAGATGCCTCATCTAAGGATTCAGAAAGCGTAGACCGGAAAGGGAAAAGCCACAGTTGCCTTTGTGCATTGGTTCTCTCAGTTGTGCTAGCCCCTAGCCACTTCAGTAAGTAAGGCATCAAACACATGACTGACATCTCTACACGTTGTCAAGGTTGCTTGTCTCGTTAGTAACGGTGATATATGTAGTTCCTGCCATGTATAGATGTATATAGTTCCACCTGCCTAAAAGAGCATTGAATCAATAACTGGTCACCCAAAGACTCGAGCAAATCGAAACCAGGACTGAGAAAAAAGGCAAAGAGAACAGCCTTTGGCCATGTTCACATGCGCTGCTAGCAGCTAACGGGCTTGCAGTTGAAGCTGATTGCTTCACACAATAGGCTTCTCATACACTAAGCGCGTACTTAAAGGGATCCGAAAAGTTAAGTTTGGGGCTCACGAACCACTGAGTATTCATCTGTGTGTGCCCATTCTGTCATTCTGACCATGTTGAACGGATCTGGCCCACATCAACAATCCTACGTAGTATCCAGGTGCCTAACTATACATCAACCATCCTACGGTATATATGTTTGCACCCTTTTATTGGAGCTCCGTTTTCTAGACACCCCCACAAATGAACAGATATAAAAAGCCCGTATATAATCATTATTGCTGACTGTGAGCTTTGCACTCTACAAGTGTGCTGGAAATATCCCGGGTTCGTGAGCCTTAACTTGTAAAAGTGCTCTAATATGCACAAAACACTCAAAGAAGCTGGGACATGAGATACAAACCTGCCCCACTTCGCTGTCAAAGCTATCCTGCGTGCTCCAACTGTCGCTCGTCACACAAGGATGATCCAAGTTGGCTTCCCAAAGATATAGCGCATGGAATTGGATCTCCTTGTTGTAGAGAAGGTCTTGAGATTGGCCACTTCCATTTTTACCTTTTGGGGAGACAACCCCTGATGTAATCAACACCTTGCCCGATCCTGAGCCGCCCATGGCCCTGGCCCACTGGCCCACAAGGCACAAGGTCCCTCCCCGAAAACAAACACGCAATTCAAAGAAGCATGCCCAAACTCTTCTGAGCCAACGCGGTGTTTGTTTATCCAGCTGTTGGACGGTCAACATGTGGAAACAAGGCAAACAGCTATGTATAGGTAGCTTCACTCGCCAGAACCATGGAAGTGGCACATGCTGCCATACAACCTGCTTTCAATGTCCATTTCTCCAATCTCCGCGCCCATGGAGCATCCCACCCAAAAAGGTCTGGCCACTCATCCAGCCAATGGAGCAAGACCCCCTTCATTCGATAGGTCCGTCATGTTCCACCGCCGCCGGCCGGACATGTTGAAGAGGCACCCCCATTTGACACTGCAAGCGCTGGTGGTTTGCAAGCGCAGGGGGTGCCAAGCCTGGCAAGTGGAAGAGTCAACATGGATATTATGCTTAAGCTTATGCAATGTGATACATATTATTGTATATACAGTAACTGTTTTGTCGACCCAAAGCTCGAATGCATTCTGCCGATTGAATGCTGCTGTGCAATTTGTGCCCATACAATTGTGATCAATTATGTGACTGGATTCTACTGCCCGCCAAAAAACACACTTGTACCTGGGACTGAATTCCTGACTTGGCCTTGAAGTACCTAGATGTCGAAAGCATGGTCAAAGCGGACGTGAAAGCACAACACCTTGCTTGCATGTGTGCATTGCATAGTTTGGAAGGGTTTGCCCGGACAATGAACTGGGTCATGACACCAGTTCCTGTGTCATTGAGATCGGGATCTTGTTGGAACTCTCTGCAGTCACTGTATCTATGCGCAGCTCTCAAATGAATAGGCAAGTGGACAATCTACAATTGCCCTTCTCAGGGGGAAAAAACACCGCAAATCTTCGCAAAACCTGACCGAGGAGGCGAGGTTTTCTCTCACTCCACCTATGCCGATGATAGCCGACCTGAGCAACCTGGTCCTTCCTGGAGCGATCCAAAGCCTCTTCCACCCCACAGTTTACAGTCTGAGCAGCCGCATAACAGACTGGTGCAACGGGACATGAAAAGAAACTGGTGGACACCAGTGAAACGATTCCCAAGGAAGCTTCTAGTAGGGAGGGGAGGAGGGAGGAGCGGGCTTTTAGACAAAAATAGGAAACCAGGGCTTCTCAAGCTGGAAGAGTCGGTGACTTTAAGAGGTTTGCACCGGGCTACACCCTTGACCTGTCGAGTTGGTTTGCTGAAACATCTGGCACATCTGACACCTATGGTGGAATGTTAGGACTTGACTATCTTGATCAACGAACATCAACCACCGGACTGGCTAGCATGCAAGTGGAAGCTTGATGCACGAAACTTCATCATCGACGATGACGGTCATGTCTTGACAGGTCCCCAACATCGAAAAACCGTCTGTTTTCTGGCCGATTAGCCCATCGGCCTCTCTTCAATCCCCAAGCGCTGCACAACCAGTCAGTTCCCGAAACCAACCGCTGCACAACCCGTGCGATTCTCAGCACTCGTGTCTGATCTCCGCAGGATGTTCGGAGCGATGCCAGGCATGGCCGGCTCGGTCGTTACGAAAACGGCCCAAAGTCCACACACCAACTGGCTTGGTCCCCCAATAAAAAACACCAACTGGCTTGGTGCAGAGCAATTTTGGCCCACATGACGCACCACACCGATCGTCAACGAAGGAACGCGCGATCAATACAATGAAGGAACACCGGAGGGAACTTGGATCATAAATAGTACCCAAGTATACCATTTACTGTATATAGTCATAATGGAACACAGGTATCGGTAGAGAACTTGGAGGGTGCGGAGGTGAAAATTGTGCGAGGACTGCCTCCCAAGCTTGAGGTTTTTTTCTCATCTTGCCCAACAAGGTTTTACCGACCTCTAACCAGGAGGTTGAGTGTTCCTACAGCTCCTAGGGCGAAAGCCAAATGATCAGTATGTAAAGATCTCCAAACGTCCACATAGAAAGCAACAACATGCAAACAACTGCCAATACAATATAGATTTACATCATAAAACAAACAGATCGGATGCCTTTTTCTCTTTTGATATTCACCGCATGCAGCTTTGCCATCACAACATGAATGGCCGTTGCCGGAACTTGGAACACTTGGCCCCGGAGATCGCTCCAAGACCTGAAGATTTAAACACCCTACAGCGGGGGAACGGCCCGACGAGAAGATCCTCGTCTTCCTCTCACACATAGCTCACCCTGATCGCTCCAGCGGCAGGCGGCAGTTGCCCCGCCGAGATGAGAGAAGAACCGCACGTTCGGACCTGTTGATATGAGAAACATGATCTCCTTCCGGATCTTCCATGTTGTTCAAATTCCATGTTGCCTGCGATTTGCCTGCGGTGCCCGAAGCATGTTCTAATTAGGTGTCCTTGACATGGGATCTGTTCGGCTGTAATTAGTCCAGCCAATGCGCAGCCATGTTTAGGATGAAAGGTCGACAGTCAACATATTGCAAAACAGCACCAGGACCGCCTAGATAAGAGTATCACTTCAGGTGTGTGGATGAAAGGATGATAGCACCTGGCCTTCTGGTTGCTTCTTTCACGTAAAGAGGGGACCACACGCTGGGGTGGGATTTGCCGGGGTCTGGCTGGGTGCGTTTTGCAACCTTGCGCTTATGCCTCTCGCCAAGTTCTCATGTTTGATATACTACTGTTCTATATACACAGTAGTAACGTGCAGTTTGTGGAGCCACATTCCGAACAAACGTATCGGACAAAATGTATGAACATGTAACACTGCGTAGAGGCTTGACTTTCCCAGTTACCCAAACTAGGCATTGAAATGCTATTGACATTGAACATCCCTAAGCCCTAGCTTCACTGACTTCAATTGAACTGCTGGAAGAAATCCTGCCAAAGCACTCGACCAGTCCAAGCACGCCAAGCACCCCGGCCCATTGGTACGATCAGTGCCCCTGGGTGACACCCCTGGCCGACCACGGATGTCGAGTACTGAGCGACTGCTAAGTCAATGGATGTTGAGTGCTTTCGCTCAGTGGCTTACTGGGTCCAAATGCTCCTCATAAGTTCCAGCATTTTCCACTTGTTGTTTTGCGTGGTGCCCACCATCATAGCAGTTGCCTTTTTGGAGAGGTTCCAGGTCTGTTTGGGCAAGTTCATTCCCATCTTTGTGCTTGCTCGAGTTGGAGTTCGAGTTTGCCTGCTTGGGTCATGTACGTTTCAGGTTGGGTGGCTTCCAACGTGAGACCCAATGGCATGCGTCTTCAATCAAGTGGGGCTGGGCTGGAGAATCAAAGAAGTGCCCTGGCAAAAAAAAAACACCCAAACAAAGCAATACATTGCACAAGAACATATATCATATATCTGATAATATACATCAATGTACAGGGCCTACTTGCCTACTCTGCAAATTATGGTAGGTTCGAATCTCCTCTCCTCCATCTTCTTCCATGTTCTGCTTCACCTTTCAAACCTGCGTACTCCTCGCCCCCTTTTTGTCGCCGCTATTCGCCCGCCAGTGGCCGGTACGAGCTTGGAGGAGCCCCTTCCGTCCGAGGAACACCGTTTCTGCGGGCGCGGAGGAGGAGCAAGGCGATGACACAAAGCCCAGCAGCAAAGAGTCCCATTGAAGCCCAGGGACTAGCCCACGGCCATCCTGAAGGGACCAAGTGGTGGCAGGACGTGATGTCATGAGTCAGGCGCTGCCAGGGGAGATTGGTACTTAGACTTAGAGGCTCTGCCAGAGTGAGAATGTGAAACACACATGTTGACATCAGGTTTTTCAAGCCGACCTCAAACGCCATACCGGCCATGTGGCAATGAATGGAAGGGACTCTTATGTGGAGATCTAAACATGGCATGGATTTGCCATGAGTCTCCGAATTCAACTGAACGCTACAGGAAAAGTACCCTTCTTTACGCCATTGTCATGCTCATAGATCATCTTCACCAAGTGCGTGAAGGAATTGCTTGGGATTGAGCTGAGTGGATGGATCCGGAAGATGTTCAACATTCACTAACTGGACACTTCTGAGACTATCCCCCTTTTGGCACGTTCGGGGCCGAACCTTCCGCATCCTCAATCCTTGTCTTCGCTTTCACTCAGGCATATCCTCATCTTACCCATGTCTTTCGCCACGAAACATGCCCCGCACCGGCCCCGCTCCTTCTTTGGGTTTCTTGGGAGGCGACCAATGCACCAAGAGGTGCTGTGCAAGCTCTGGCGAGCCAGGGGTGTAATAGGTGTCATTGACATCGCAGGGCTCGTAGTCCTCGTTGGACGGTGGCCAAGTGTAGGTCCAGTCAGCGTCGGTCCATCGGACATCCGGTTTTGAGATGTTCAACCTGTGTGGAGAAGAAAAACAAATCAGCAGTCACAAAGGGGTGCGATCCATGGAGGTTAGGGGTGCCCAGAACATCCACTCACTAGGGACTAAAAACCACCCCTTTGCGACTCCTGGAATAGAAATCTTCTGAGAGATGGTCAAACTTGGTGGCACCGTTCCAAACATGTCATTTTTTTTAAAGACATATTAGACATTGTTAGACATTACCACACACACACACACCTGAAAACATCTGGCACCATGTGGAGTACTGCTTTCTGTTGACATTTTGACCATCCCTCTCAATCTAAACAATGCCGTGATCATAGTCGCACTTCCACCGCAGTACGGTGCAAGAGCAGGTGGCCAAGCGACGCGTGTCCTCATAGACAGGGTGACCTCTGGCGTGCTCGCAATAAGTCAGCTGAGAGCAGTTCAGGCCCATGTCCTGCGGCCATCGCTCAAGTTGTTGACTTGCCACAGAACCATGTGATTTCTCGTGAATCTCCCTTTTTCACCCGAAGGTTGCAAACTGCAGCATGTGCAAGATGCTTGCTGAACCAACAAAAACAGAACAACAAAAAACGGATGGTCGCGTCTCCACATGTCACGCCAGCACCGGCGCCTCGTTCCAAAAGGTGCGGCTGCAAAGGTCGTGTGTCCCACCGCCGATGGCCCAGGAGTTGGATTTGCAGGGCTGGACAATGCCCACATCAGGGCAGCTGCGCTCCGACAAGAGGTAGGCGTTACCCAAGACGTTGCAGGCCTCCTGGGAAGGAACACATGTTCGGATCTCAGGAGGCTTCGTTCGGATCGCGGGAGATGTCGCTGTGGCCTTCTCCTTGCGTTGAAAAAGGCATGGACGAAAAGGGTTTCTCCAAAAGGCACGGAAGTGCTGCGGAAGTGCGCTCATGAGCGCTCCTTGAAAGATGGGGTGGTCGTTGAATTCATGTGTTACTCTTGGTTGAAAGGAGCGCTGACAGCAGCCCACCAGACCAGCGAGGAGATTGGGAGAGTTTGAGCCAACCACACTCTCTCACTCCCTCCTACTCGCTCTTCAAAAGCAGGACACCCGTCTGTGGTGCAGGACTTTCTTCGTGTCTTCCATCAACGATCAACAGCAGTTATAACACGATCTTCCCTTCAGCTCCTGTCCATGGTTCCATTTCCCGAAGACCATGTCTTTGGGCAGCTCATAGCACTTTCCGAAGTCTTGGTCCACCGGACAACTGCAGCTGCAAGATCCTCCAGTGTATCCTGCCGGTGTCCAGTCTGGCCGATCGATTTCAGGGAAGGCAATGGCCAAATCCAAATCATCAAGTATTAGGAAATGGATGGCCAAATCCAAGCTCCGGACTCAACCCCCCCAGCCGCTAGTTGTCAAACTCGAGAATTGTTCTGGTTGATGTGGTCAGGCTTCTATTACTCGAGGAAGCAATGCCTAGACCTTTGAAGGGGCAACATGTCTTTTCATCAAAAATACCTACATACAAGGGCGCATCCTAAGCTTTTGAGCATCTTTATATAACCCAAAACTATGCAGGGGAAAACACATCTCACAGAAGAAAACCAATGCAACTGAATGCGTACCACCATGCCTCTACTAAAATGTTGTAAAAGCTGCGGGGTCCTTCGTCCACTTCACCTTCTTCGTGCTCTTTTTGCTTTCCTGAGTTGTCGAGAGAAAACACACCAAAACAATAAACACCTACTGCAAGTAGACAGAGCAGCAAAAGCAAGGACAAACTGTTGCCCCAAACTTGATTGCGCAAAGAAGTTTGCTCTTTGTACAATGCTATTGGAACCAAAAGTCTTAGCTGAAAACTGAATGTACCGTGTACCTATAATTCCTCAAGGTGTCTCTTCCTCCTGCGTTTCCTCCTCGCCAAAGATGTGTTGGATTTGGTCCCGTGGTTGTAGATCACCGTGGACAAGTCGAAGGTGGTCGTCGCCGTCGTGGAATCCTCCAGGTTGAGCCTTAACGTTGCATCAAAGTTGATCTTCAGACCTTCGAACGTTGGACCTCCAGCTCTACCAGTAATTGAATCCACCAGTCTTTTTATCTAGCTAGAATATACTTAATATGTTACATAGTTCCATGAGTTATCCATACTGGATGTGAAGGTTCACCCCCTCAGTCGACAGTGCGAATCCAGGGATCAAATGGGGAAGAAATGGCAAAGGAGCGCTCCTGTGACCGTCGAAAGGGATCCATGTGCAAACCACATGTTGAGCAAACACTACAACAGCACATGGCACTGCGTTTCCCACCTCTTGCAAAGCTAAACACTTCAATCACTACCAGGCTCATGGGGCCATCTTAAACTCCCTTCTACCGCACCATCTGCCTCAAAAATGCTGGCATCCAAATGGATGCCTTTTCTTGGGTCCAGCCGAAGGGGCTCCTGAAAGTCCCATGGCCACCAGCCAGCAGTGGTGGTGGTTGGCCACAGCCAATCCCAGGGCCACCCATCGGCTGCTGCAGCTGTAGTCCCCACGGTGGTCTGGCAGTTGGGTGCCAAGTGCATGGCGTTCGCATGTGAAACACATGGCGCATGACACAACTTCCATGTGATGGCATTATGATATAGCAAATGTGATAATATATATATATAATACTGTATATGTACCAGCACCACCCAGTTCGGGTGGTTTATAGACCTCCCTGAAGATGCATGTTCCATCTAATGGCTACCCAAACTGGGCGGTGCTGGTATGTATATATATATATATACCCAGACACTCCATGTATGCCATATATGCCGATCAGTTGGGGTGGTGCCAGGGGGGTCAATGGGGCGGCATATATTCCAGTCCCATGGAGTGTTTGGGATATATATATATATATATATACCAGCACCTTCAAAGGGGTCACCAATGAAAGCCCCTACACTACTAAGGGACCTCCATTGGACACCCCTTGAAGGTCCAGGTATATTTATATATATATAGATATATCTGTGTGTGTGTTTGTTCACACCTGACTCTTAGAGTCTCACAAGTCTCACATGTCCGGTCCGGCGGTCTGTCGGTCGCCGGTCGCCACGGCCAAGTGGCAGTGGTACCTGAAGTACTCGTGTAAGTCGTGGAAGTGAGTGATGTAGAGGTCTGAGTGCGCGTGAAGGTGGTGCTGGTGAGGGTGGTGGTCGACGCAGGAAAGGGCAAAGCAGCTTCGATCACCAGGTAATGCAAAAAGGCGCCGAAGGAATCGTCGTAGGTGATGGAAAACCTGAAGCAGCAAAGAGGCCACCAAAAGAATCGTTGGACTCCAAAGGATTGCAACGTATTCCACTGATTGAAGCAGTCGTGGTGACTGGAAGCATGATGTTCCAAGATCAAACCTCCCCCCAGGTCCCAAATACTGACCAATACAAGATGCAAGCAGTGCTTGCCTTTGCAGTGGTTCTTGACACTAGGCTTCACAACAAGAATCAACAAGAACAGCGAGGAACCACCCTCATAAGACATTGTAAAGCATATATACTGATAGGGGATGATAGGGGATGATAGGGGTGCCCATTATCCACTCACTTGGGGACCAAAAACCATTCCTTTGGACCTGGGGGTCTTTATATATAGTTTCATGCGTTTCGCTGATGCCTAAGCCATGTTTCATGCAGATTCCTCTTCAGCCCCGCAGCCTTGGCCGTTCCCCGCAGCCTGACTCGGACCAAGGAGCCAAGACCAGCTGACCGAGCAGGGCGTCGAGCCGGTGAGGTCCATCCCCAGGGAGACCACGAAGGTCTCCCGCTCCTCGGAGCACGAGACCGGAGCATGAACGGCTCGGCGGAGCGGCGGAGCGGCGGAGGTTTGAAGGGACTTTTGGTGCTCGAAAGGTCGAAGGTGTGTCTTTTTGGAGGGACGGATGACCTCATCAACACTGGATTTGGAGCCAAGATCGCCCAGAGGTGTGAGAAGCGGGAAGGTCTCTGGAGGAAGCCCAGAGGCAACGAAGACCCATTTTTTTGGGGGGGGGGCAAGAGCCAAGATGCTCTTGATCAATGTAGTGGTGTGGGTTTGATGCTGTTCGTGCTGTTTGCGCTTCATGGGATGTGATAGGGAAGCGAGGGAAGCGAGGATCGGCCCAAAAGACTGTCCAACGCCAACTAGTTAACTAGTTTTCTTTGCATTGTACCTGTTTGCCATCCGTTTTCGCCCCTATCTGCTTGACTGCTCTGACTGAGGGCCCGTTTAGTCCAGAAAGGAGACATCTACCTTCTTCTCCCTTGCGAGTCCTAGGCAAAGCCTGACACTTCGCATTTACCAAGAAAAAACACATAGAGACTCGTGGGATGTTCGTTTACTTGATTGTTGCCCAATCCCTAAGAGCATCTGAGAACTGGCCTAGTTGGCCATGAATCATAAACACTGGCGTTCTGATGACTCAAGGCTCCGGCAGCATGATCAAGTACCTGGTCAAGTAGCCAGTGGCGAACCATGCCTCCTGCAGAACATCGACGGCCTTCTTGGGCAGTTGGAGCCTTCTTGGTCCATGGATGACGTTTGTGAAGCTCCAAAGGCTAAAAACAAAGGCAACTCGGAACCTCGGGGAGTTCCTCGACCTTTCCGTGACGGAAGGCCGGCTCCGGCCCTTCAACCTTCAAATGTGGCCAAATGTGCGGGTACAGCTGCCTGGATTTGCGGAAGGTTGTGCAGTTTGGATCTGATCTGGATGGACTGACCAATCAAAGGGTGTTCAGCGATTCACCCAGAGCAGAGATGTCGAGGTTGGTCAGGTTGGGAAAAAAACTCCGGGTACCCCGAAATGATCCGAAACGATGTCACCAATCAAAGCCCGGGCCCACACTCGAAGACAACACGAAGTGGAAATCTGGTATAGATGGTATAGAGTTTCCATCCTCTTCCCAGAAGATCATGCCATCCGAATCCATGCCCAGACCATCCATATATGGAATAGATACTCTATACGGTCATCAATGGATATAACATGATATCAATGGAGTAAATGTATGCTGGAACTCTTCCATACATCGATGGTCTGGGTCTATCGTCTGATCCAATGAGCTCGATGGTCTTCACCGCCCGCGGGCACCGATCGGCGCAACCGACCGCGCGGAACCGCTCTCCTCGTTGATGCCGAAGATCGGCGGGTCGGGCACGCCGAAGCAGGCGCCGCAGGTGCACATGCAGCAGCTGGTGTCGTCGGGCCCGACGGCGTGGTTGATCCAAAGCAGCATACCATAGGTCGACACCACCTGCGCTGATCAATCGGCGTAAGGGAATATATAGGATATACGTGCCGTTACGCATGGAGGCCAAAGGCAGGGGGATTGAGCGCACTTTGCGCGGTACCAGGCCAGTGAAGGCGGGAATGGTGGGTGGTTTGGGGATATGACTTGCGAAAACCCATGGCGAGAACTGCTCCAATAAGAATGGCTCTGAAGAGCAGTTGAAGACCAATTGATCGCACAATTCAACACAATATTAACTCCCCCCCCGCGCAAAACACTCTCTCACAATCCTCACATTTCACCTTGCCAAAGTATTCAATAAAATCCATTGCAAAACTCATTCAACATGGACCAAAGGACAAACCGTCTTGATACATAGACGGAGTTGCTTAAACTCACCTCGCGACCTCGCGCGCCCGACATCGTCGCAGGCCCCGATGACCTGGGGAAATGAGGGTCGCGTCATCTCTCCTGGGCGCGCCATAAAGACGAAAGGCCCTAAGTGACTTAAAGCACCGAAGCAAAGCGTCAAGCGTCATGAGAGATTCCACAGGTGATGTATACAACTCTCTTCACTACAGGAGGTCCCCAAAACAAAATCTATTCATAAGAAAGGAAGATTAAATATATTGAATTACAATAGGGCCATGGGATGGGGGAATTTTTGAAGATTGAAATTGATGTGAAGAAAAGGAAAAAAAGGCGGTTGGTAACGGTTGGTATTAGCAAAAAACATTGCCCAAGAAAGGTATTTGGGGGTGGGTTTCCACTTTTGCAAATTGTGCCAGAAGCTTTATGGAAAGGTGGCAGTATGGGAGGAACAACTGTAATGTGGCAAACTAATAGTCTAGAGGGTTCCTTAATCATGGGTCTATGCTTTTGTGATGTAATCATAACCTTAATTTTGTTTTTTCGTTCAGTGTTGTTGCTCTGGTGCAGAATCTCCACTGTGTGTTTTGGCTCTTTAGCAAGAATGTACAGATGTGGTTGTGATGATAGACATGCACCCAAGCCTGCCCTAGACTCAACACTATCATATCTTCCATGACTTTCCATGCTACATACTGGCTGTCAAGCAAATGGACAAACACAGCACCTCTGAAACACAAAGCTTGTCTAGCGTGCGTAAACACTCCACCTCAGGTCTGGTGGCCCAAAATGTAAACACTCCGCGTCAACCACCAAATAAATGTGTAAGTCATGAATGACGATGATTTATGATGACAATATAAACAACGGATTCTATTAACTCTTCTCACAACTATATATCATTCACTTGATTAGAGGCTGTCATTGGTTAAGGACATTCTTTGGTATAGGTTGCACCACTACATGTTTTCCATGGTGTCCTGTGGAGTCCTTTGATATCCAATGAAATAAGATGCATGATTCATGACTTTTTAATATAAGAAACTAGCAGCATCCAATAATATTGACCTCAAAGTGGTCATGAAGGTGGTTGGATGAGAGGAAACTTTTGCTGGTCCCTGAGGCCCTAAAATGATGTATGGTTATAGTTGTGTTCTTCAACCCAACCATCCCAGCATTTCTTGTGAACATGACTCACATGACCTTCAAAAGAACTTCTTCTCAGGCTCTGATGTACTCCTTGCTCACCAGTTGAAAGACTTCCGTTCGGTTCGTGGCCCAAGGCAACCAATCCAAAGGCCACGTGGGTGCGGCTGAAAGGGGCCATCGGCCCCAGTTGATCATCAGCTGCCCAATCCTCTCAACATCGGGGCCGTCAGGGTGTCGAAAAAAATAACACCTTCAGCTCCATGAGTCCTTTTGCTGTCCCCAAACAACCCAGACCTCTCCTGGCCAACTGCGAGCAGCTCATGAGTTGCCCTCCGCCGATGGAAATATCACCATCCAAGCCATCATGGGCGAAGAGTCCTTGCAGCCCCAAGGGTTTGGCGAACTGATCCTCTGCCCAGTCCACCGGTGAGCTGTAGCGCTCAGAGGTCAAGACACGGATCAGCGCGCTCAAATGCTGGATGTGCTCTCCGCTGTTGTACTCCTTTGCTGCGTACATCATCCGGTACCGGAGGACGACTCATGATGGTCACCACTTCACCCTTTGATGCGCCAAATAGTGCAGGACAACCCAACTTTTACAGTATTCTGATGTACTCTGAAAAGCCACGACGGGCTTTGCATCTGTGGGCAGCATGGTATGTTTGGCGGCCGGGGGTCAAATCACAAGCTATAAAGAGTATATATAATTAGGTGGGAATACCATAATCGGGACGTCTGAGACGCAAAGTGATTCGTCCAATGACGAAGAACAAAACACCAGAAATCGGAGATGGTGAGATTGTTCTATCATGTTCCCTCTTCCGAGGTGGACAGTGACTTGAACCTTCGGACCCGGAAAACCAGGGGTACCGGGTCCAAAATAGTCGAAGTTTTTTGAGACCAAAGACCTGGCCACCCAATTCTTCACCCAAAGGAGAGGAAGGCCGAGACTCGAAGGTCACGCCGGGAGGTCCTTTGCCCAAGCCCGAGGTATGGGTCATCAAGTGCCTTGCGGTGATCAGGGGCCAGTACTCCTGATGCTCACCTGAGAAAGGAAGGAGGCAGTACGCCAAATCCAGGTGCCAGTGCAGGTTTTCAGCCGTGTGTGGTGGGTCTTTGGAAGAGGGAAAAGATGGGAAAAGGCACAAGTAACACAGCACCTAATAGACCCTACAAAACTGAGACTCCAGGCGCGAATGGGTCTTGTTTTGGGGTGTCCTCTGAAACATCAAACGATCTCATCCACCTGGGGGCATAGAACATGGCCATCATGCCGCATGACAATCAAGGACCATCAAGGGTCATCGACCGGAAACGAGCAATGCTACGTGAAGAGGCGACCTTCAGTGCCGTTCTCCCACGAGAAGAAGGCGAGTTCGAGTTGATTCAGCCACTTGGTTGAGGTCTTTTTTGCGTTTCTGTTCTTTTGGGCAGTGAATTGCCTTTGACTCAGCCACGAAGTTTGTTGATCGCTTTCGTCACGGCGAGTACACTGAGTACACAAAAGTGAAAGCACAAGGTCCCGGAGCTTCATTTGGCAATGCAATGTTCTGATCCAGCACATTCCAGCACCACCCGAAGGATTTTATGGACCCGCCGGGAGATGTGTGTTTCATGTTATTTTTTTCCATTATATATTAAAAAAAACGAAGTGGGTGGTGCTGGGCTAGTTCTCTTGTCATATTGCTTGTGTTCAACGATCTTGTTTTGCTGGATGGGCCGCTTGGGGCGCCCTTCCATGATTCTCGGGCGAAAGCGCTAAGAAATGGTACAATGTACAATCACACCACTGCCCCTACTACGTCAGGAATCCTCTTGGCTCAATACTTTCATAGACCTATACACACAATTCCACTAAATAAGTGTGAATGGAATTAAATTGAAACCATGGAATCCATGCATGAACCAAGAAAAAGCATGACACGATATGACAACGATCCCAAACACATGTTGCTTTGACCCGGGTTTCACCCCCTGGTTTCACCAACAAGCCCACCTATCATGGACGTCCGTCCTGCTTCGGCCAAGTAAGCGTTCCGCGTTCCCAAGTGGCCCCAGTAAGCTGCGGGCTTCACCTTGTACTGCGCCAAGGGCCGATCGATGTCCAACTTGCCTCCCATCCGACCCCGGCACGGCGCCGGTGGGGGACGATGGAACCAGGTGGGCAACGAAACGCGCTGCCGGGGGGGGGGGTCGGACCCGGTGGGGACTTCCATGGGAATATGATGGTGAATTGAGGGTTCATGATGGTTCTCACGTCCGTCCAGAGTTGCGTTTTGACAAGCCAAGTGTGAGTCATGAAAACTGAAAAAGAGTCGGTTCCCAAGGCTCACGGGCCATGATTCCCAAGGCACCCAAGGCACCCAAGGCACCCAACTCGTCTGCCCAAGCCAGCCTTGTGTGACCAAGACCCCTAAAAGCAGCGCGCTCACGGTCTTTGCCGCGCTGTCCAACTCGATCTGCTCGGAGGGCAGTGCGGTGGGCGGGTAGCGCTCGTAGACGAGGCGTCCCTTGTGAGCCACCAAGATGCCTGGGATGAATAGGGGCCACTGTGGGCCACTCACGGAGGAAACGGGGCCCAGAAACCTGAGAATTGGTTGCTTAGGTCTCATGCATGTTCCTCGCTCATCCCACCTGCGGGCAAAGTTTATAGGATCATCCAGTGCTCATGAATGAGTTCGTACCAACAACCCCAATGCCGTGGCTGCAGCCTCTCCTGATTCGACCCAGCCAGCGGTCACCCAGTCAGCCGATGCGGTGAAAACCGACTCGTGAGCGGATGCCAAAGTGCATCGTCGCCCAGGGAAGGTCTTGAAGAGATTCCTGAACAATTGCGGGCAACAGTACGAGGATACCAAAGCATTTCTTCCGAACTTGGTCAAAGGATGTCAAAGGATGAATCGGTTCCATGAAACAAAGTGACCCCTAAGCAAACGACGGAGAGGATGCACGATGATACTTATCAATCTATTTTGAGGTTGTTTGCACTGACCCTATGATCATCATTCCCGCAGAACTCCAACAAAAATCAGCGCCCCTCGCCAAGGGTGGAAGATTACTCGGTGTTGGTTTGTCTGCTCATGAGTGTGCAAAGCACCACATGGACATGCCAGAACCACTGGGTTGGTATTTGGAAAATGGGATCGTCTATGCGCAAAGTAGATGATGTGTCCCGTATCTCAAGTCACATCTCAACAGGTGGGTGGAAGTGGATCTCTGACAACTTCATGTTTCATTCCTTCTCAAATGGAACTTAACTCTCTCATCTGGATGTGAGCAGCGAAAAACTATAGACCTTCCTTGGCACTGCGTCATCACTCTCAGGGTCCATCAACTCACCCTCCTTGGCACCGTCGCTTACCGTCCCACGCTCTCGACCGAGCGGTTCTGGCGTCCAATGCCGGCCGAGTGTCCCTGCTCCAACTTCCAATGGCTCGTGGCTCGTCCAATCGACCACCCCCTGTGCCCAGGGTCCAGCGCCCGGTCCCGCCATGGAGGGCTGCCACCAGCCACTCCGGCAGGTGGTGCCACGCTTCAAGAGCTGACAAAAGAGACAGGTGAGCTCGGTGGTGTGGGAGGGGAGCTTGGGAAATCAACCTTGTAATTATGAGGCAATTGGGTTTCTTATGGTTTCTTCACGTCTGTTTGCTGAAGGCTTGTTAACTCAGACTCTTGGGGCTGACTCAGCCTTTCATCTCCAAGATCTAGATATGACCCGCCCAGGCGGGTTTTCACGCCAGTTCCATTTAGAACGAACCCCCGCTTCAACACTTGCCCCGCTGGCTGGCTTCTGGTGGTCGCTTGGGCTTGGTTCTTACAGTAAACGTGCTGTGAGGGGTTTCCCTCATGTCATGAAGCTGTGAGGTCCTACCGTCCTACCAGTCAGAAAAGGGTGTACCTTTTTGCAGCACAGAACGAAGCTGCACGTTGAATCATCGCAAGTGACCAAGGTCTACGAAGGTGTCAAGTTTCCTGGATGTCTGTGGTCGGTTTAGAATAGGGACTGCCTATTTTAAACAAAACGTATTCCTTGAAATTGACTCCCTCCTGAGAAAAACACATCACATTGGTTCGGTTTGGAAGGAGTCCCGGTTCATAATTGCACACCCTCAGTCATGACTGGGGTGCTTTTTTGGCGGGAACCCTACTCCGAACACCAGGTGAAATGTTGTCTTCGTGGAGGCCTCTAGGCGAAAGGGGATCACCATGACGACTCCTCAGAGTCTAGGATGTCTTGGTTCATGGGCCTTAAAGGGCCTCCCAAACAGCTGCGGCGTAAGCCACAGAAGCTGCGGAAGCAGTGGAACTGACGTGATCATGCACATCCCAACATGATACCAAATGGGATTTGTTCATTCTACCCAGGACGTTGACTTTCCATGGTTTGGGTGGCTTCAAACTGATCTTCGCAGCCATCAGGGCCGCTCCATCTGCGACCCAAAAGTCGATTGCACCATCCTCAGGCCTCCCAGGATCATCCTCGTGCGGAACAACTAAGGCCTAAACCTCCAGCACATTGTTGATGCACTTCTACCCCGGATCCTCCACAAAAAAGGACACACTTTGCATCAACAAACTCGTTACTCGTTTCTTAATGAACAGCATCACCCAAAGGGTGGTTTATAGATCCCTCTGGCCTCTGACTTGGCATGTTCCGTCCCCAAACCGCCCATTGAGGTTGATGAATGTTCCCTCTTCTTTGGGCACGAAAAACATAACAAACATACAAACGGCAGTCGTGGGGTCACCGTGAGGGCGCACAAAAGCACACATTTCATCACACACCATCACGCCTGGACCCAGGCCAACCTCAGCCAAAGTCTCTAGAGTTCGCGCCTTGGTGTTCATTGAAAAAAGCGCTCGAGCATCTTCACAAGCCGGACACCGGACACGTCGTCAGCAGCTGCACCCAACAAATTGTTGAAGAATCTGAGTTCGACTATCCCAGTTTGGTACCCCAGGTTACGGGTCCTATTTACGGTCACTTCAATAATCTCTAGACAGGAGCAATTACTGATTCACAAGCTGATTTGCAAGCTACTGGAGATTCAATTACTACACAGGACCATCCAATGGGTGACCAAAATGTGAACCAATAGACTGCTCCGCCATTGGACACCCATTGGATGATGGTATAGTCTATAGTCTATATGGTATAGTGATCCAGAAATAAATAGAAAACGGTGTCCAATAGAATTTAATGGGGATCTACTTTTCTATCTATTTGGGGACCACTATAGGGATTCTCGGATGGATTGGGTTCAGAACAATCCCGTTACTCAATTGCCCCTCAAAGATTCAGGACTTTAGGATACTCTTGGATAGCTACCTAAGCCTGGGGCTCGGGTGGTTTGCGACCCAGTGAGTGAGCCCCTTGACCCATTGGCACTCTGACATGGAACTACTGGCAACATCTACTGAATTCTTGATTCCCCTCAGCTTTTTGGGGGTGAGGGGAAGATAGAGGTTAACAGGTTAACCTTTTTCCAATGTTTTACCTTCATGTTAATCGTTTGGAGTGGGAACACATATCCCCAAAAAACATCAAACAAACACATTATATATGTTGTCCATAGAGTGGGTAGGTGATATGTAAGCTCCACCAAAAACTAACATCAATGGACAACCGCCTCCTATCGTCTAATTTGAGGAGTTACTCATTAATTCCCTAGAGCTTCAACCTCCAACCATATCCTCAGAAGGTGGCGTTTTATACCCCTCCAAGATGGTCTTCCCGTTGTTGTTGCTTCCAACAGTGAGCAACTCCCTATAGAGCCCCTATAGATTAGCATCCTTGCTCCGTTCGTCGCGATGCCCTTTGCTCCTACTAGCACCGTTGCTCCTAGTAGCATTCCAAAACCCCCAGTGCCGTTCGTGCCGGCGAAGCCTCGCCGAGGCGCACGTTCCTGGCGCCGGGCGATGCCCTCCACACGCTCCGACATCTTCTTCGAGGCGGCCTCGACGCTGCCGGTGTGGCAGGACCCGGTCCCGAGGAGATGGTGGTGCTTAGGTGCTTGGGAAATATGGCTAGCCACTTGTAGACTGTAGGGCCTCTATAATTAAATTATATCCTAGACAAAAAGGACAAAAACGGTTGGGGTGGGTACCAGGGGGGGTCGAATACCACCTTTTGAGGATGAGGTTGGAGCCCAAGGGAAACATGCTGTTATAATTGTTGTCTTTTTCAATGTTGGCATTGACTAATTTACTATCTATAGTAATTACAATAGTATAGCTATGTGATATTACATGCCGCTCGTTTTGGACGCCACGGGTGCAGTCAAAGGAGTGCCCCAGTGCGGGTGCCCGGAAGGCCCATCATGAGATGACACATTGAACAATGAACACACACATGCCCCGAGTGGTTGTATCGGTTCATTTGCCTATATGTTATACGATGTTTGTCTCTGCAGTGTTCTTGATATTGCTCAACATGTTCAACTCAAAAGGAGATTTATGGACTATCTGGCAGAAAACATGTTGGCAGCTGCAATTCGGAATTCGGTCGTTCTGGACCACTTCTGGAGCAGTCGATGGTCAGGTGACGGTCCGGCCTGAGCCTGGAGGATGCGTTGAGGTCTCTGAACCCTCTAAAGGGTCACTTAGGGACCTCAAAGCATCAAGCTGGTGCTTAGCAACTCCAGCTTATTCAGGGTCATTGTTAGCAAAGCCCTTCCAACAACAGCTGATGTTTGCTTGTAGTTGTCCCCTGCAAGCTATTCCCGAAACACAGCCAAACATCCTAGAGGGGGTGTTCACGTCAAAATACCCCCAACCCTTTGGTCTTCAAATATACACTCCAACTCACTAACATGGAAGTGGAGTTCACCTGTTTGTCATGGAAAATGGTCCTTTCGGGGCACATCCACGTTGGCCCATGTTAGTTCGGAGTATACGTCTGCGCCTTCGTTCCTTCCAGTCCGTCTTGCCACCGCGAACCGCCGTGCCGCACCGATCCGGCCTCCAAGCTTTGCAGCCTCGAAGCGAGGCGAGGCGAGAAGAGGGGCTGTGAGGCGAACGCCACATGAGCTCCACCAAGATCCAACGAACCAAATACGGAACGCCGTGCCGACTGGAGGTGTCATGAAGCGACCTTCCCCGCCAAATCTCTCATTCCAATCTCGGAAGTCACCGCGTCGCACCGAAGTCACCGGGGCGACGAACACAAACTAAAACAACCAACAGTCACGGGGCGACGGGGTGATGAATGGAGATTAGTGGTGCCCAGAACATCCACTAGGGTTCAAGCACCACCCCGTCTTGTGACTCCTGGTGCCACGTCTTCATGCGGCGCCTCGTGGACATGTGTCTCATCTCGGTGCGCATCTCGCGGCTCAACAGCTCCAAGCGGTCCAAGATCTGCAGGAACGTCCGATGGTCGTGGCGGTGGACTGCGGACGAGGGGGGGGGATCGACCTGTGAACAGGATGGGTATGGATGGGTCTCGGGGTGGGTCGGTAGGGATCGAAGAACGGAGACAAGAAGGACTAGCGACGCAGATTTGCAATGACAAGCCTTGTAGGGAAGTTTTAACTTCAGTATCAAACCAGCAAACCAGCAGAGGTTGAAGAATCCGAACTAGACTATCCTATAGGTATACCCCTGGTTACGGGTCCTATTGTCACTTAATCTCTGTAGGAACATCAGCAAGCCAGTTCGGCATGCATGGCGGAGAAGTTGTCCCTGGATCCCTGGCCACATCCGGCCATGGGAGGGGCCCCCTCTCGTGAGGAAAGAAACAAGCAAAAACCAGCCTCGGCTCAACAAGGACCCTTGAAAATCATATCCCTTCGCTCTCTGGCAAAATGGGAGGATGGATCTCAGCCTGTCTCTCTCTCTCTCTATAATGAAAGTTGAACGTGGGGTGTGACAGCAAGTGTTCCTGTAAGGGGTTGAAGATTTTAATAGGCACTTTCACAAAACTCCAGTCAGCCCCAGGTTTGAATCTAGCCTTCAGTGACCCTCTAAAAAAAATCGATCAAACAATAATAAATCCGTTCTATAAGAATGTCTTGGATCATCTTGGGTCCTTTTTTGGGGCACCTGAACCTACCATAAAACTCTCTCTCTCTCTCTATCCAGGTGGGACCTTATTTAGCTCTAGACTCGTGTAGCTCCCTCCCACTTTCGTTTAGTCCACACTCCACCCAAGTTCTATCTTAGGATCCTGAGATCCACCTCGCCTGGTTACCCCCAGCCTCTGAAGGAGAGGCCATGACCTGTGCCGCAAATGGCTGGGTAGACTTCTGCTTCGCATCATCTAAATGGCTGGATCTTTGGTAACTCTTGGGTTTCTGGTGGTTACAGCTGGCTCAAACCCACCGTTTGGATGCCGCTCCCCTACATCCCAACAGTTGTGCTTTGTTTTTTCTTCTGCTTCGGATCAAGCTGTCGCCCCCGCCTCCCCGGCCAAGGGCGAGAGCTTGTCACTCCGTGCCGAGCCCGTGAAGCTCAAACAGTTGTCCATGCCTGGGCTTCAGAACGGGCTGCTTTTGAGTTGAAACCGTTGAGCTATAAGTCCGAGATGTTCCAAGCTAAGGCATAAGATTCTGAGATGTTTG